TTTAAATAGTAGTACAATAATGCTTAATTATTGGTCACTTTTAATCACGTGAATAATAAGTCTCACAGGGGGGGGGGCAATAGTAAACTATAATGACGTGATATGTGTCACTCCCCTTATACTTTTAGATTATCATTTACTTTCATGTTTATTAATTCTGATATAGGAATTTGTAATAAATTATAAAATGCTTTATATATATGAGACGAGATATACATTAAATGTATTATTTGAAGTATTTTTCTGATAACTTACTATTTTTTCTTTCTTCTGTATTGATAAATTACTACTATTTATACTTAAAATTTCTGATTTTGAAGAATCATTTTTTTTCTTTTTTCTAGCAAAAATATTAAGAATTATTATAACATAATATATAATAATATATAAAATTTCACATCATTAGCAAACCTCTTTTCCTTAAATTGTTGATTTTCTTATTAGGATTATTAATTATATTGTATAATGTGATAGTAGTTATTTGATTATAAATAACTTGTAATTTTTTTCTAATAGTATATTATTCATAAAGTAAAATTCTTTCAATAATTCTGAATATTTTCTCACTAAATTTTTTACTTTATATAAAGTTTTTGACAATAATTATTCATAATCTTCTACAATTTCTATTTCTGCTAAATTATTATTACAAAATAAATTAAATTGCTGTGTTAAAATAAAATTGTTTAGATCCTTTTGCCAACATTGATAAAATAGCAAATCAGGCAATTTTTCTAAATTAAGTTGTAATATAATATGAAATATATGCCTACAATAATTCCAGAAACAGTAATATATTTACACAAATATTAAAATAATTGTTATTATTGATCATGTTGAACCTTTCTTCCTGATTTATATTTATGATTAAATTGATAAACATAAAAAATTGAAGTGTTTTAGTTTTCAAATTATATAATTTAATACAAGAATAATCAGAAGCTTGTAACAATTGTTCTTGTATTAATTTTAGCATATAATTTGTTAGTATTTCTGCTGCTTGATATTCAAATGGACTCCTTGTTTTTAAAATAACATTAAATTGACTTTACCTATATTTAGATAATTGCAAATCAGTATCATACTGCTTTAATACAGATTCAAAGGCTTTAAAGTGAATAAGATTATTTATAGATTTTTCACATTGTATACTTGTTATATCTGCTAAGAATAAATCTCTGTTAAAACAAGGTACCCATTTTTCCTTGACTTTATCCATTTTATCTAAGTGTGCTTTAGCATTCAGAAATTTATTTAAGCATTTCCTATTTAACTATAAATTTTCCAATATTATATTCTTTTATGTATTTATAAAAAACTTTTGTGAAATTATTCCAATTTTCTCCTAATATATTATTTAGGTTTTTAATCACATTCTTTTATAAATGCCATATATATAATACATGTTTAGTATTATGGTCAAAAGTAATTTAAAATTGCTTTGACTTTATTGGTAAGGATTGCTTTTGGTGAGTGATTATTAACGATCTTAAGAAATGATTTTGTCTATACAAAACTATCAATCATTTCTTAGCACATTAAGGCATCAGCAAAGCATATGCTTTAGCCAAAATTATTCACATCAGTAAAGATCCCAAATGGCATATTGAATCAGATAACTTTATATGTGTTATCAAAAACAATGATATTTTCAGTTCAGGAATTGAGGTATTTTCTGAAATGCCTTCGGACATATTAACAAATATAATGTTTATTGTATAAAACCACAAAAAAAAATATTTTATTAAGCACATATAATCCTAATAAAATATAAAATTTATTTGTTCGAAGTAAACTTTTGATTAGCGATATGATTTTACAAATAATACGTCATATACAGCTTATAGTACACCCCGGTTTAGGATAAGGATCTAAACCCTTACCTTAGGTTAAGGATGCTCATTATTATTTACCCCAGTATCGCCATAAATTTATAAGTAAAAATTTCATCCCCGCGTGATCGGTGACATATAATGGGCGTGAAAAAACTATTTTTCATCACAAAAAAAATTTCAGTCCCGGAATACTTATGAAAAATGAAAATCGCAAAAAATCGTGAATTTCTCTTCAAGATTCGCGGAAAAGCGAAGGGTGTGACAAGGGGTGACAAATTATATATGGTCACGTGGGGTGAAAAATTTTATGGCGATACTTACTGGGTAAGATAATATTATTCACTCTGTCATGTGACGCGCATCATACGATTTATTTGTCAAGCTTTTAACCAGTGTTGGCAAATGACCTTGAAATGACCATATAATGACTTCAAAACCTCAAATGACATAATTTTTATTATAAATTTCAAAAGCTACAGAACATTGGTACAGCCAACTCTCTATAAATTGAGACTAGGTATAAGGATGCATTTAAAGAAAGAGTGACATTTATAGAATATATATAAATCTATATACCGTAAAATCTCAAATTTAAGCATCCCCTTTTGCAATCACGTGATGGATAAAATTAGTAAGGGTGCTTAATTTTGATTTTATACTGGAATTTTTTTTCGGACAAAAATTCAAATTTAATTTTTTATTTTATTTTTTTCGAATTTTAATGTTTTTTAATTTTATTTTTAGTATTTTATACTTAAAAAAATAGTAAATGACCTTATAATAGTAATCAAGAATTTTTTGTGTCGGTCTACATTCAATATAATTTCGCCCAAAAACTCCATAATGTCGCTTTCGATTTTTCCATTGATCATTTAACAGCCTTAGGGCCTATTTTTTTTTTTTTTATAAATACAAGCCGGAAATCCTTAAACAACTTACTGTAACATTCCACGCTCGCCCTTATTATATTTTGCATATATACAGTACATCTCGAAAACCCCTTTGCGATATTTTCGTTTTTGCCGTTTTAACATTTTAAATTTCGTATTTGTAACTTCGTTATTTTTTTTTAATTTCCGATTTTCTTATTATTCAATTTTTTTGTAATTGCATTTATTTAGTTAATATATTGACATTGCGAAAGTGTAGAGCGCCGAAGTTGAAGCAACACTGATTTAATTTGATGTTATTAATAAACTTATCGTCAAGATTACTTCATTTTTACTCAATAATCACTCAATAAAACCTTCTGTTTACATTACAAAATTGTTTATAAATACATAACGAACAATTTAATCATTTACATTTTTGTAGACATGTGATTATGTTTTTGTTATTGCAAAACCTATTGGTATGGTACCTATTGTTACTCTTTTATAAATACAAGTTGGACCGCATTATTTTAAGCAGGTATTTCAAGATGGACAATAATTCATCAAGTAATGCTTTAGAAGAGGAAAGACATAGAATGAATATCGCATATGAAGCTCATAAACGGGAAACTGAACTCCGTAGTCGGGAATTGCAGATTAATTATGAATTACAAATTCGGAAAGCTGATACGGAACATCAACACAAGATTGCTGAATTGATAACACTAATGAAACTAACAAAATTACGAACTTCTTCTCTCCTATATGGAGACAATGAATTTAATCATCCAACAGAATGGCGCCAGCTTTAATGCCATCATGCCACTTTTACAAAAACTCGAAAGTGACAAATTATCTACCTCATTGGAGAAAGCTACTGAAAAGGCTATTAAAAAAATTTTTGATGTATTATTTTATTTATATTATTTTTTTGCTGTTTCCTAAGTTACTTTGTCATATTATCTATCTATTGTTTAGACTTATAAGACTACTGAAGAGCTTTTGGATTACTCAAAAAAACAAATTAAAGAACTTCAGCTTAAACAAGACGATGAATTTGCACGATTGCTAGATTTCGCGTATAAAAGTAAGTATCTTCTAGAAGGTGAAAACATATTCATTAGATATTTAAGTATCTCCACTAATAATTTCTTAATTTCTTCGAACTAACTTTAAATATATCGTTGAAAATTTCATCAATTATGTAGACTGAGTAACATCAGAACACCCTGAATAAAAATTTTCAAATAAAGTTACGCCCACATTTCAGGGTAGTGATTTTTATCCAATTGTATGTTACATGCGGATATATGGGAAATGCTAAATGCAATTTAAATGCGTGACAAAGCTTTCCCAAAATTTTATGCTGTATTGTCACAGCTTTAGTGTGTTATATGATCGCGTAAATTATCATGCGGAAATCCCGACAATAGGTAAAAGTGATAAATAAAAATTTGCTTGCGCAAGCATTGGAACTAGCAATTTCAAATCCGACTCGAAATGTCCATCCAAACCCCACGGTTTCCACCCGCCATATAATAGTTAGCATAGTGAAAGTTCCATATATTATTAGCATAAAATCATTATGTATCGATCATTGTATTCATTTTTTCGCATGTATTAATAATTTTTTTTTTTTGGCAAAAGCGCGCGTTCCAGGGACGCACTCCTGAAATTTGTCATGTAAAAATCTAAAGTATTATATGTCGAAACGGACTAAAAAAAATTTTCTTTGAACATGTGACGAAATAGCGCAGGCGTGACTAAGGGTCACGGTCTCGTAGTTGGGCATATTTTTTTTTATGGACTCATCGAATTAATGAAGTTTTTTTCGTCCACAATAAACTAGTGATTTTAACCAATGTGTGAAATTACATCGGGACGTTTTATTTCGAAGGCAATGATCAACATAAAGTCATTTTGAGCATGTTTGTGAATAAAATGCAAAACTTTCAATAATCATTTAATTTGCATAATTTTGCACATATTCGGGGGGTTATTTTTTATCTAAGTGTGGACTAAGGTTGCCGGGTGGCAAAAGTTTCTACGAATGACAAAACACATCGAAACCTTCTGATATTAAAAAACAGTTTTGAATTTAAAATTTATTATTTTTGTCTAACGAGATGAGCAAATCATATATAGCAAAGATCACTTTCTTTTATAATATCATATATTTATATATTTATAAAGAATAAAAAAAAAATCAAAAAATTTTATATAAAGTCTAGTTACATCATTTATCTCCCATATTTTCTTAATTTAAACTCATGACAATATTCTTATCTTATTCATTCATTAAACTTTCATTTGAAAAATCATCGTCTAGAGTCGGATTTAAACCCAGATATCCGCATCGGGTATATGAAATGTATAATTTATTAAGCTAAAAAAAAATTTATTTGATATGCAAATAGAGAAGGATTTAAATCCGAATCAGATTTTTAAAATTAAATATAATTTAAAACCTGCTCGATAAATAATGTATTATTTTGGAAACTTTGTTCTAATTTATATTCTACATTGTGCTATAATAAACCGTCAAATTCGCAAAGTGTTATCGAAACTGCCGAAATAATTTCTGAAAAGGTTCGACTTTTGCCAAAATGGGCTTATGGTTTTGTCCCGCAACTATAGTGTGGACAGCGTAAAATTTAGATAATGAATCCATGCAAATGTATAATGAATAAGTAATGAATTCAAGAAAATAATAAATTCCTCCGATTGACTAATACGTTATGTGACCTTAAATCATGTGAAACTTATTTATTTTCTTCATCGTATCGAATGATATCAACATAGAAATTTTACATTTTATTAAATTGGGAAATTCAGTTAAGTTTATTCAATCAGGTGGAATTAACATCTTTACCTTCTTCAAGTCCACCATCCCAACTCAATTGGAAGAGTAAAGTAACATCACGATTGTTTACATATTGAAACACGTTTCTTGCGCGTTTATCATCTTAAGTATTTATCTATAACATTCCATAAAAAGTTTTAAATTTGTCCGATCAAATGCTCCATCACTGTTGTCAATACACTGTACACTGTATTTTTTTTTCGAAACTTCCATCGTATGATGCACTGTGGGATTGAGTTGTGCCAGACATTTGCCGATAATCGAATTTGCCTATCAGTTAATGATGGGTCATTTCTAACAAAAGGTAATTGCAAGAGGTTTAATAATTTCTGTGATTATTATCATTTTCTATATAGGAAATTCAGGATATCAACTGACTGGATCTCGATGAAGCAATAATTAATCTCCTTAATTTCCATGGATTCAAAAATTCGATTCTATTGTACGCGTGCGGTTGATGATATGGTATGGATAATGATTGCATGGATAATGATTGCGTTCATAATATAATTTTTTATCGAAATTTACCGTAATACTGACGGTCAATATGTTAAGTGAATCCCTGAACATCAGTCGATCCAGGTTTTCGTGATGCAATCATATTTCCCTAATTTTCAAAGGGTATTCGATCCTTGGACACTATATAACACATAAGTTTTACATTTAATCGTTTTACCTACTTAATACTAAAAAATATACTAAATTTTCAAACATACCTCCGTTTCATCACAAATATCATCACATCATCAATCTATTAAGTATTCTACAAAAAATAATAACAAGTTATGTCGGCTTAATACGCAGCTAGATTCTGGGAGAATATCATCACGATGTCGATCATATTTATAGATGTGCAATACGGTACAAAGAAAGACAAAGCGGTCATATACAGTATCTTTGAACCTATGACGTCACTTAATCACATGATTTTCGAAATCTCCGTTGACTACAATTGTTTGTTTAAATGGTATGTTATAAAAAAAATTTAAAAATCTTAGTTGTAATAAAGAAAATTTCGTAAAGACATTCTTAAAACTTTCGCATTTGATCCCACATTGCAAGAAACGAGAAGTTATTTCAAAAGAAGAGGTTACTCAACCAACCTATTGTATTTGCACCGGATCACAAATTTAGTTGCATAAATATTTTACAATAACAGGTTGATGAGAAAAACTTTATCGAATATTTAAACTCGTACTCCCAAACATTTTCTTTATTAATTCCTTGCTTAAAACGCATTTTAACGAGTAATGTTTCATAAATTTATTTTTTGTTATTTCTTCTTTAACCTATTGTGCATAAAAACTTGATTGATTGCTTAATTTGTATGATGAATTTATTTATAATTAATTCCAAAATGTAAAGTTCAACTCATAGAAAATTTTCATTCTCACAAATGTATAACCAATTTAAAACAGTGTTGGAAAGTAGCAAATTAAATGGAAAACAAACAAACATTCTAAATATTTCTAAATACCACATCAAAGAAAAAAAATGTATATACCGCCAAACGCTTAATATTAATAATAAAACATAATAATAAGATTTTACTAGCAACTTAAATATTTTACTTATAGATTTCTTGTGCAAGATTTCTTACCGACGAAGAAGAAATTTCTCTGTGTTGTTAAATCAGCTCATAGTAGATTGTGACTTAGTTTCATATTTCTTAATAAACAATACGTAATTAAATCTTATTTACATAGCTAGAATATAAAGATTTAAATTTGAAATTTAAAATATCGACGCCAATTTATATTTGTTGTTCAGATAGTCGTCGCCGACTTAATATTTTGTTGTTAATAATAGATTTTGTGTAATTAATTCAGGAAAATACAAGGACCGCTTGTATAAACAGCTTCGGGATGATTTCTTTCGCGACGAAATTTATTTTCTAAACCCGAAATTTTTTTCTCTTTCATGGTAACAGATTTTTCGGTTAATTTGAATTATCAATAACATTTATCCAATCACCTAATAATTCATACAATTCAGATGCTGTTGGACGACTTGAAGGATCTGGATGCCAACCTTTCGTCATTAACTGAGCGTAAAAATCTGGAGTTTCGTCAATGATTTCAGGACAAAGACCAGAAGAAATTTCAGTAGATAATTCAAGATCATGTGGTCTATTGCACCATGGACGAACACCTGCAGAAAGTGTCCACATAATAAGACCAAAACGAAAAATATCTGAGGCCTTTGTTGGTGAATTTCCGTGTAAGATTTCAGGAGCGATAAAAGGAAGGACTCCATATATCTCATTTGAATTTCTCGTATCAGAAAAATATGGTTCAATATCTGGGATAAAAACGTTTTCAACTGAACCATTTTCAACTTCAACCAAGATTTCGACTCCGTGAAGATTTCCATGAATTAATCCTTTTCATGAGTTATGAGTATACTTCCCAAGATCTGCCAAATCATTACAATGATACCTTTCCAATAAAGCTTTCCTTGAGTTTCATCAATATATGAATATAAATCCAGATTTTCATAATATTCATAATACATCATAACGAGCATGTAATTTGAATTATAATCTTTAGTCACTCCATAAATGTTTGCACCGTTCTCGCATTGGTGATGTTTAAAAAGCTTCATTTAAAATTAATTAAATTTTCGTTATTATCTCTAAAAGACAAATATTTAAATAAACAATTTCGAATAAAAGTTAAGTCATAACTTACTTGCTTTAAGTAATCTTCACATATATATGATGCATCATTAATTCTTTTTAGAGCAACTTTTGTAGGACGATTTCGTGACCAATTTTCAGCGTCATTATCCCAAAGCCTTCGGGGACCTTCTATCCAAATTGCTGAATAAATTGCGCCAGTGGCCTCACTTCTATTTGCTATTTCTACTAATTCTAATTGTACAAAATCAATATATTCTAAATAATCTATAATCCCAGTCGCATTTAATTTTGTGTATTGAATTAAATTATCAATGTCAAGGTTACCACTTGTCCATTTTCTAAAATTTCCTTTCAAGGCACTAATTTCACAATCTTTACACCATCCTACGTCGCTTTTTTCCTTTCCACAATCTAAACATGTTCCAAAAATCGAATTTGGTCTTATCAGCCTATTTACCATATAATCATCTTGATGGAAGGACATGTCTGATTTACGAAACTTTACTTAAAGGATAATTACAAGATTTTTTAAGTTACACAAAAAAACGAACCATTCGTTTTATTCGGTATGCTGCTGACTAGCACGGTAAATCGGTAGACAAATAAATTTATAGGAAAAAGTATGTCGAGAGTTTGACAACGAAAGGTAGAAGAATAGCGGATAAATTTCAAGCTTAAATAAGTTTTTGATAGGTTCATTTGTCCCACGCAAATAAAATTTAAGGTTATGTTTAAAAATTTAACCGGTATTACCGTCCGATATTTTAATAACATAAAAATTTTTACCGGTATTTTAAAAACATAAAAATTTTTTACCGGTATATTTTTAAATCAAATGTAAATTTTCCATCGTTGCGTATTAAAAAATTACAATTAAAAATAGAACTCTTGTTTGAATTTATTTTTTTATATCGAACACTTTATATTTTAATAAATTTTTATTTAGCTATACTTTTAGTGAAAAATTTTTGGTAATATGTTTTTAGTGATATATTTTTTTCTAGTGTCATGTGGT